TGCGACGATTTTCCAACCTAGAGCGTCAACCTGTAAAGGGTTGTAGGCGTACTGGTGTAAGTCCTGCGATTCTTCAAAGGAATTCCATCGAGACATGATCCGCGAGATTGTGTGTACTGTTTGTATGTATCTGTGGTGTCATATCAATTGGTGGTTTTGGATTCATTGTGTTTACTCGTTGTTTTCGTACCTTGTTGTTATTGCGTAATTTTGTTAAAATTTTCGTCGTGCTTACTTCTGAAGTTATTTTGAGTCTTCTACATCCGTGAATGAATTGATTGATGTTAAACACAGCAGATGGGTCGTATACGCCGGGGAGGCTATTCCTGAGAATGAAATGCATACGCAGATAAATGTTAGCTGCGGTTCCACATGCCGGGGAGCAAGATTATGGACGATTGAGGCTCGCATACGTCACTGTTACTAGAACTGAGGCAGAATGAGTGACAAGCGATTGCAGTGGTAATTGGTAGTGAGTAGATAAGAGGATGAGCGTAGAGTATCGTGAGGTGGTGCTATGGTCACGTTGCATTCTGCAAGAGTCATTCTAGCAAGTGGCGATTGTGTTGCAAGAGGATGTGTCACGAGGATGCCTTTAACTGGAAGGCGCAGGTCGTCATTGATGTGTGAGATTGTGCTGTGAGTATGCTTGTGGTGCGTTGGCTTTTCTGTTTGTTTTCCATTTCAGCTCTGTCCGTGTGACCCAGGTACTCGCAATGGCATCCAAGTCAACGTGTATTGGTGGTGATGGAGAAAAGGGATGGATCCGTATTTTGCCGGGGAGTGTCAATGTAGTTGAAGATTGAACGATCAATTCATGGTTGCTTGCTCAAACCGAACTTCTCCAATTTTCGCGGAGGCGTCAATCAGCCAGTCGTCGTCTCATCGGTCGCTGTTCAGAAAGAAGTCAGGACAATACCGTCAGAAGTAATATTGTGATTTATTATTGTAATATTTGTGCATAGACCTTAGCTGTGAAGTTGGCTAGAATACAGAATTCTCGAGTCGCCAATTGGTGTTTTGGTTTTGCGTCCGTTCGTACTAAGCGTTTCTGGGAAGCTTCGAGGAACAGCGTGAGTCCCAGCGTAGCAAGAGCTGGGCATTGACGGTTTACGAGACGTGGCTGACAGTTTCTGACGGTAGAAACAGATTCTGGCGGATTCAGACAGTTGGTGAAAGTTTAGATAGTCACCGTTCATCTTTCCTGGTGCCAACCAAGTCTTCTTTGAACAAGCAATATCTGGAACGTTTTTGGAATTGGGTCAAGTTCAACGATGCCTGGGTCAAAGAAGGGACACAGCGTCTTGGATGCAAACAGGAAAGTAAGTCATGTTGACTTGTCTGTTACTTGTAACGATATGTCTGATGTGAAACGTGACATGGTTGATGTTACTGTTTCGCCGTCCAGGGATAATAGGAACATCAAACTTCCTAAATTTGAACCATGGTGTTTCGACGGAAACCTGGCTGATTATTTACAGTTTGTAAGGGAATTCAAAATCATGTTAAGTGGTTTTTTATTGAATGATGAAATGAAGTTGATGTATTTGATGAGGTATTGCACTGGAATTGCTGCAAGAGCTATACAGTGCTGTAAGCTCATGCCCCCTACTGAGGGATAATCTGAGGCCAGGAATATACTACGTCAAGGGTTGGGAGACCTTCGACGATTGTAGGGAAACTATTCGAGGCTGTTAAGGGTAATGGTGGTCAACTACAAGATGACTCCAAGGCACACACTGAGTTTTTGGATAATTTGCTGAATTACAAGAATGCACTGATTTCGATGAATTGCATGAGTGACCTCAACTCGAGTTTCGTCCTAGAAGTAATAGCAAGACGCCTACCTACTCGACTGCAAAGGAAGTGGGTGAAGATAGGCTCCCGTATAGAGGAGGAAGGTATCGAGCCAAAGTTCGATGATATTCTGAAACTGGTAAACGATAGTGTCAATCAATCTATGAGCAAATTTGCCAGTATATTGAATCCCACCCCTAGAATAGAGCAGTCTGGGGGTAAAACGCAAGCATTGATGATGAAAGGGTCTCAGGGAGGTGGATATCGAGAAGGCTCTATGGTGTCTAGCAATGCATATAAACTTAGTGAGTGTAACAGCTTTCGTGGTACATCCTCAACAGATAAGATACAAGCTGCAAGACAAACACGGTTGTGTTTTATACGTTTGCAAGAAGTTCATACAAAGATGAACCGTGAATCAGTGAGCAAGTTCAGTGATAAGCTAAATGTGACATCAAGGTCTGACTCCGAATGGTGTGACGATAATAGCGCGGTGAAGAAGTCTGTAGTTGCAACTGGTGAGCCATTGTTGAATAGAGTGTCACAGAGGAGAGTTACAGTTTTAGAGTGCAGTTCTGACTCCACAAGTTTACAAGGTGTTACTAGAGAGAGTGAAGGTATAAAATCTTTAGGGATTTGTGAGGGAGAACCGGAATCATCCACTTCTGTTATTAAAGAGTTTGAAAATGATGAAGTCGACCAGATAGATGATGGTAAATTGAATGTTTGCGATACTGACCATGATAGTGCAGATTTGTCCTTGGTTGATTATGATAAAATGAGGTGAATTCCTAATACCGCTGAGTTGAACAAATGTTCTGTACAACTTGAACGTGAAGTAGAATTAAATGCAGTTGTAGAAGGTATGGACACTTGTGAGACCGTCAGTGTAATTGATCAGCGTGTAGCCCACCTATCATCAGATGATAGTGCTAAGCCGGAGCTGATACTAAAAGACAGCAGTGGTGGTAGTCTTACATTTAGAGAAATTTCTGAAAGGTGAACAACAACAGCTTCTGATCCACCGCTAATTTCATCGACTGGTATCAATCAGTCGTCGTTGGTGTTGTCATCCACAATGAGAAAGACACCCATCAACTCAAGTACCTTGTGCAATGACTTTGATAGTATTGGTGCATTTGAAAAGACGTAAGTTATTGCTCAGTTTAGTGGGAATAAGCCAAGTGTAAACGAGAGAGTAATTGTTAAATTGACTTGCATGAATAAAGGAATTTCTAGTTTCAAGTTACTATTTGAATGTTATTATCTCCGGTGTAAATTACTCTGTGCCTACGCTTGGTTGATCAGATATGTCGTGCGTTTGTTAGTCATCTATATTCTACGATACAATGACATGAGCGTGTTACCGTTCAGATTTGAGGATATAGCTGATAGAAGGAAGTCAGTAAATGAACTCTGCGACGATTTTCCAACCTAGAGCGTCAACCTGTAAAGGGTTGTAGGCGTACTGGTGTAAGTCCTGCGATTCTTCAAAGGAATTCCATCAAGACATGATCCCCGAGTTTGTGTGTACTGTTTGTATATATCTGTGGTGTCATATCTATTGGTGTTTTTGGATTCATTGTGTTTACTTGTTGTTTTCATATCTTGTTGCTATTGAATAATTTTGTTAAAATTTTCGTCGTGATTTCTTCTGAAGTTGTTTCGAGTCTTCTACATCCGTGAATGAATTGATTGATGTTAAGGACAGCAGATGGGTCGTATACGCCGGGGGGGCTATTGTTGAGAATGACATGCACACGGAGATAATTGTTAGCTGTGGTCCCACACGCCGGGGAGAAAGAGTGTAAACGACTGAGGCTCGCATACGTCACCGTTACTAGAATTGAGGCAGAATGAGTGACAAGCGATTTCAGTGATCGTTGGTAGTGAGTAGATAAGAGGATGAGCGTAGAGTATTGTGAGGTGCTGCTATGGACACGTTGCATTCTGCAAGAGTCATTCTAGCAAGTGGCGATTGTGTTGCAAGAGGATGTGTCACGAGGATGCCTTTAACTGGAAGGCGCAGGTCGTCATTGATGTGTGAGATTGTGCTGTGAGTATGCTTGTGGTGCGTTGGCTTTTCTGTTTGTTTTCCATTTCAGCTCTGTCCGTGTGACCCAGGTACTCGCAACGGCATCCAAGTCAACGTGTATTGGTGGTGATGGAGAAAAGGGATGGATCCGTATTTTGCCGGGGAGTGTCAATGTAGTTGAAGATTGAACGATCAATTCATGGTTGCTTGCTCAAACCGAACTTCTCCAATTTTCGCGGAGGCGTCAATCAGCCAGTCGTCGTCTCATCGGTCGCTGTTCAGAAAGAAGTCAGGACAATACCGTCAGAAGTAATATTGTGATTTATTATTGTAATATTTGTGCATAGACCTTAGCTGTGAAGTTGGCTAGAATACAGAATTCTCGAGTCGCCAATTGGTGTTTTGGTTTTGCGTCCGTTCGTACTAAGCGTTTCTGGGAAGCTTCGAGGAACAGCGTGAGTCCCAGCGTAGCAAGAGCTGGGCATTGACGGTTTACGAGACGTGGCTGACAGTTTCTGACGGTAGAAACAGATTCTGGCGGATTCAGACAGTTGGTGAAAGTTTAGATAGTCACCGTTCATCTTTCCTGGTGCCAACCAAGTCTTCTTTGAACAAGCAATATCTGGAACGTTTTTGGAATTGGGTCAAGTTCAACGATGCCTGGGTCAAAGAAGGGACACAGCGTCTTGGATGCAAACAGGAAAGTAAGTCATGTTGACTTGTCTGTTACTTGTAACGATATGTCTGATGTGAAACGTGACATGGTTGATGTTACTGTTTCGCCGTCCAGGGATAATAGGAACATCAAACTTCCTAAATTTGAACCATGGTGTTTCGACGGAAACCCGGCTGATTATTTACAGTTTGTAAGGGAATTCAAAATCATGTTAAGTGGTTTTTTATTGAATGATGAAATGAAGTTGATGTATTTGATGAGGTATTGCACTGGAATTGCTGCAAGAGCTATACAGTGCTGTAAGCTCATGCCCCCTACTGAGGGATAATCTGAGGCCAGGAATATACTACGTCAAGGGTTGGGAGACCTTCGACGATTGTAGGGAAACTATTCGAGGCTGTTAAGGGTAATGGTGGTCAACTACAAGATGACTCCAAGGCACACACTGAGTTTTTGGATAATTTGCTGAATTACAAGAATGCACTGATTTCGATGAATTGCATGAGTGACCTCAACTCGAGTTTCGTCCTAGAAGTAATAGCAAGACGCCTACCTACTCGACTGCAAAGGAAGTGGGTGAAGATAGGCTCCCGTATAGAGGAGGAAGGTATCGAGCCAAAGTTCGATGATATTCTGAAACTGGTAAACGATAGTGTCAATCAATCTATGAGCAAATTTGCCAGTATATTGAATCCCACCCCTAGAATAGAGCAGTCTGGGGGTAAAACGCAAGCATTGATGATGAAAGGGTCTCAGGGAGGTGGATATCGAGAAGGCTCTATGGTGTCTAGCAATGCATATAAACTTAGTGAGTGTAACAGCTTTCGTGGTACATCCTCAACAGATAAGATACAAGCTGCAAGACAAACACGGTTGTGTTTTATACGTTTGCAAGAAGTTCATACAAAGATGAACCGTGAATCAGTGAGCAAGTTCAGTGATAAGCTAAATGTGACATCAAGGTCTGACTCCGAATGGTGTGACGATAATAGCGCGGTGAAGAAGTCTGTAGTTGCAACTGGTGAGCCATTGTTGAATAGAGTGTCACAGAGGAGAGTTACAGTTTTAGAGTGCAGTTCTGACTCCACAAGTTTACAAGGTGTTACTAGAGAGAGTGAAGGTATAAAATCTTTAGGGATTTGTGAGGGAGAACCGGAATCATCCACTTCTGTTATTAAAGAGTTTGAAAATGATGAAGTCGACCAGATAGATGATGGTAAATTGAATGTTTGCGATACTGACCATGATAGTGCAGATTTGTCCTTGGTTGATTATGATAAAATGAGGTGAATTCCTAATACCGCTGAGTTGAACAAATGTTCTGTACAACTTGAACGTGAAGTAGAATTAAATGCAGTTGTAGAAGGTATGGACACTTGTGAGACCGTCAGTGTAATTGATCAGCGTGTAGCCCACCTATCATCAGATGATAGTGCTAAGCCGGAGCTGATACTAAAAGACAGCAGTGGTGGTAGTCTTACATTTAGAGAAATTTCTGAAAGGTGAACAACAACAGCTTCTGATCCACCGCTAATTTCATCGACTGGTATCAATCAGTCGTCGTTGGTGTTGTCATCCACAATGAGAAAGACACCCATCAACTCAAGTACCTTGTGCAATGACTTTGATAGTATTGGTGCATTTGAAAAGACGTAAGTTATTGCTCAGTTTAGTGTGGATAAGCCAAGTGTAAACGAGAGAGTAATTGTTAAATTGACTTGCATGAATAAAGGAATTTCTAGTTTCAAGTTACTATTTGAATGTTATTATCTCCGGTGTAAATTACTCTGTGCCTACGCTTGGTTGATCAGATATGTCGTGCGTTTGTTAGTCATCTATATTCTACGATACAATGACATGAGCGTGTTACCGTTCAGATTTGAGGATATAGCTGATAGAAGGAAGTCAGTAAATGAACTCTGCGACGATTTTCCAACCTAGAGCGTCAACCTGTAAAGGGTTGTAGGCGTACTGGTGTAAGTCCTGCGATTCTTCAAAGGAATTCCATCAAGACATGATCCCCGAGTTTGTGTGTACTGTTTGTATATATCTGTGGTGTCATATCTATTGGTGTTTTTGGATTCATTGTGTTTACTTGTTGTTTTCATATCTTGTTGCTATTGAATAATTTTGTTAAAATTTTCGTCGTGATTTCTTCTGAAGTTGTTTCGAGTCTTCTACATCCGTGAATGAATTGATTGATGTTAAGGACAGCAGATGGGTCGTATACGCCGGGGGGGCTATTGTTGAGAATGACATGCACACGGAGATAATTGTTAGCTGTGGTCCCACACGCCGGGGAGAAAGAGTGTAAACGACTGAGGCTCGCATACGTCACCGTTACTAGAATTGAGGCAGAATGAGTGACAAGCGATTTCAGTGATCGTTGGTAGTGAGTAGATAAGAGGATGAGCGTAGAGTATTGTGAGGTGCTGCTATGGTCACGTTGCATTCTGCAAGAGTCATTCTAGCAAGTGGCGATTGTGTTGCAAGAGGATGTGTCACGAGGATGCCTTTAACTGGAAGGCGCAGGTCGTCATTGATGTGTGAGATTGTGCTGTGAGTATGCTTGTGGTGCGTTGGCTTTTCTGTTTGTTTTCCATTTCAGCTCTGTCCGTGTGACCCAGGTACTCGCAACGGCATCCAAGTCAACGTGTATTGGTGGTGATGGAGAAAAGGGATGGATCCGTATTTTGCCGGGGAGTGTCAATGTAGTTGAAGATTGAACGATCAATTCATGGTTGCTTGCTCAAACCGAACTTCTCCAATTTTCGCGGAGGCGTCAATCAGCCAGTCGTCGTCTCATCGGTCGCTGTTCAGAAAGAAGTCAGGACAATACCGTCAGAAGTAATATTGTGATTTATTATTGTAATATTTGTGCATAGACCTTAGCTGTGAAGTTGGCTAGAATACAGAATTCTCGAGTCGCCAATTGGTGTTTTGGTTTTGCGTCCGTTCGTACTAAGCGTTTCTGGGAAGCTTCGAGGAACAGCGTGAGTCCCAGCGTAGCAAGAGCTGGGCATTGACGGTTTACGAGACGTGGCTGACAGTTTCTGACGGTAGAAACAGATTCTGGCGGATTCAGACAGTTGGTGAAAGTTTAGATAGTCACCGTTCATCTTTCCTGGTGCCAACCAAGTCTTCTTTGAACAAGCAATATCTGGAACGTTTTTGGAATTGGGTCAAGTTCAACGATGCCTGGGTCAAAGAAGGGACACAGCGTCTTGGATGCAAACAGGAAAGTAAGTCATGTTGACTTGTCTGTTACTTGTAACGATATGTCTGATGTGAAACGTGACATGGTTGATGTTACTGTTTCGCCGTCCAGGGATAATAGGAACATCAAACTTCCTAAATTTGAACCATGGTGTTTCGACGGAAACCCGGCTGATTATTTACAGTTTGTAAGGGAATTCAAAATCATGTTAAGTGGTTTTTTATTGAATGATGAAATGAAGTTGATGTATTTGATGAGGTATTGCACTGGAATTGCTGCAAGAGCTATACAGTGCTGTAAGCTCATGCCCCCTACTGAGGGATAATCTGAGGCCAGGAATATACTACGTCAAGGGTTGGGAGACCTTCGACGATTGTAGGGAAACTATTCGAGGCTGTTAAGGGTAATGGTGGTCAACTACAAGATGACTCCAAGGCACACACTGAGTTTTTGGATAATTTGCTGAATTACAAGAATGCACTGATTTCGATGAATTGCATGAGTGACCTCAACTCGAGTTTCGTCCTAGAAGTAATAGCAAGACGCCTACCTACTCGACTGCAAAGGAAGTGGGTGAAGATAGGCTCCCGTATAGAGGAGGAAGGTATCGAGCCAAAGTTCGATGATATTCTGAAACTGGTAAACGATAGTGTCAATCAATCTATGAGCAAATTTGCCAGTATATTGAATCCCACCCCTAGAATAGAGCAGTCTGGGGGTAAAACGCAAGCATTGATGATGAAAGGGTCTCAGGGAGGTGGATATCGAGAAGGCTCTATGGTGTCTAGCAATGCATATAAACTTAGTGAGTGTAACAGCTTTCGTGGTACATCCTCAACAGATAAGATACAAGCTGCAAGACAAACACGGTTGTGTTTTATACGTTTGCAAGAAGTTCATACAAAGATGAACCGTGAATCAGTGAGCAAGTTCAGTGATAAGCTAAATGTGACATCAAGGTCTGACTCCGAATGGTGTGACGATAATAGCGCGGTGAAGAAGTCTGTAGTTGCAACTGGTGAGCCATTGTTGAATAGAGTGTCACAGAGGAGAGTTACAGTTTTAGAGTGCAGTTCTGACTCCACAAGTTTACAAGGTGTTACTAGAGAGAGTGAAGGTATAAAATCTTTAGGGATTTGTGAGGGAGAACCGGAATCATCCACTTCTGTTATTAAAGAGTTTGAAAATGATGAAGTCGACCAGATAGATGATGGTAAATTGAATGTTTGCGATACTGACCATGATAGTGCAGATTTGTCCTTGGTTGATTATGATAAAATGAGGTGAATTCCTAATACCGCTGAGTTGAACAAATGTTCTGTACAACTTGAACGTGAAGTAGAATTAAATGCAGTTGTAGAAGGTATGGACACTTGTGAGACCGTCAGTGTAATTGATCAGCGTGTAGCCCACCTATCATCAGATGATAGTGCTAAGCCGGAGCTGATACTAAAAGACAGCAGTGGTGGTAGTCTTACATTTAGAGAAATTTCTGAAAGGTGAACAACAACAGCTTCTGATCCACCGCTAATTTCATCGACTGGTATCAATCAGTCGTCGTTGGTGTTGTCATCCACAATGAGAAAGACACCCATCAACTCAAGTACCTTGTGCAATGACTTTGATAGTATTGGTGCATTTGAAAAGACGTAAGTTATTGCTCAGTTTAGTGGGGATAAGCCAAGTGTAAACGAGAGAGTAATTGTTAAATTGACTTGCATGAATAAAGGAATTTCTAGTTTCAAGTTACTATTTGAATGTTATTATCTCCGGTGTAAATTACTCTGTGCCTACGCTTGGTTGATCAGATATGTCGTGCGTTTGTTAGTCATCTATATTCTACGATACAATGACATGAGCGTGTTACCGTTCAGATTTGAGGATATAGCTGATAGAAGGAAGTCAGTAAATGAACTCTGCGACGATTTTCCAACCTAGAGCGTCAACCTGTAAAGGGTTGTAGGCGTACTGGTGTAAGTCCTGCGATTCTTCAAAGGAATTCCATCAAGACATGATCCCCGAGTTTGTGTGTACTGTTTGTATATATCTGTGGTGTCATATCTATTGGTGTTTTTGGATTCATTGTGTTTACTTGTTGTTTTCATATCTTGTTGCTATTGAATAATTTTGTTAAAATTTTCGTCGTGATTTCTTCTGAAGTTGTTTCGAGTCTTCTACATCCGTGAATGAATTGATTGATGTTAAGGACAGCAGATGGGTCGTATACGCCGGGGGGGCTATTGTTGAGAATGACATGCACACGGAGATAATTGTTAGCTGTGGTCCCACACGCCGGGGAGAAAGAGTGTAAACGACTGAGGCTCGCATACGTCACCGTTACTAGAATTGAGGCAGAATGAGTGACAAGCGATTTCAGTGATCGTTGGTAGTGAGTAGATAAGAGGATGAGCGTAGAGTATTGTGA